AAAGCTTTACCCAAAACTTGAAAACTTCACAACACAAAACTCAACAGGAAATCTTCTAAGCTCCGTTAGTGAAAGAAAACAAAACCACCACATAAGGTACTGTAATGAACTCATTCTTTATTTATTTTGGTGTTAAACCTACTGTATTCCAACTTCCTTATGGTTTATAAACTAATTTATTAGCCATAGAAGCATTGAAATAAGCAAACAACACACGAAAAACAGAATCTGTCAAAAACAGAATCTGTCAAAAACAGAACAGTCTGTAGCAATCTGTAACTAACGCAAACTTCTGGAACTCTAAAAATCTTACCAAAATAGGACTTACTGGAAAATTTGTTTATTGATCAGCAGCAAAACGAATCAGTGCAAAAACTCGTTTCTGTGATTTATTGAATTTTTTCTCGTGAGCACAAAGTTGCTGTTTTTCAGCAGAATCAAATCAACCATCATCATAGTTTATACTATAGGTTCTACTTGGCACAAACACTAAACAAAAGATAAAAACACATCTAAACACAGAGTGTATGCAAGATTTTATTGAATAAAAGCAAGGAAAAATATTGGGTTGCCTCCCAACAAGCGCTTTTCTTTAAAGCCTTTTTAGCTAGGCATTGAGATTTCAAAGATGCTCGCATGAAAGACAAGAATTGAAGCATAAAGAGAACATCATGAAACACGTGACAAACACATATAAGTCTAACATACTTCCTATGCATAGACATATTATAATCAAACAAATTTTCAAGGCAAGCAAAAACTAGCATATGCAAGGAAGAAGAAAGAGACGGTAGCAATCTCAACATGACGAGAGGTAATTTAATAAGATAAAAATTTCTACGACCATATTTTCCCCTCTCATAATAATTACATGTAGGGTCATAGGCAAATTCGACAAAATAGCTATCACAAAACATATTCTCAACATGATCCACATGCATACAAAGTTGACACTCTTCCAAGTTAGTGGGATTAATATTAACTAAAGTCATGACCTTTCCGAACCCACTTTTATCAAAAATATCATAAGATTGAACATACTCCAAATATGTGGGATCTAAAGTTGACACTCTTCCAAACCCACTTTCAATATTATGGCAAACACTGTTATTAATCTCATATTCATCATGGGGCTTAAATAAATTTTCAAGGTTATAAGAAGAATCACCCCAATCATGATCATTGAAACAAGTAGTAGACATAGCAAAACCGGCATCCCCAAGCTTAGGGTTTTGCATATTATTAGCACAATTGACATGAAGAGAATTTATAGGAAAATCATTGCAATCTTGATTTTTATTCAAGGATTTATCGTGAATCTCTTCATAAATTTCATCATCATAATTTCCAGATTCACAAATTTTTAGCAAAGCTTCATAAAGATAATCTAGTGCACAAAACTCACTAGCAATTGGCTCATCATAATTGGATCTCTTAAAAAGATTAGCAAGCAGATGAGGATCCATAGATCTTAGGTTCTCTATTTAGCAATAAATAAGCATCTAATCCAACCAAACAAGCAAACGAGAGGGCAAGCAAAGAGAGAGGAGGAGATTGGGAAAGAGAGGGCGAATAAAACGGCAAGGGTGAAGTGGGGGAGAAGAAAACGAGAGGCAAATGGCAAATAATGTAAATGCGAGGGAGATGGGTTTGTGATAGGTACTTGGTATGTCTTGACTTGAGCGAAGACCTCCCCGGCAACGATGCCAGAAATCCTTCTTGCTACGTCTTGAGCTAGCGTTGGTTTTCCCCGAAGGGGAGAGGGTGATGCAGCAAGTGTAGCGTAAGTATTTCCCTCAGTTTTTGAGAACCAAGGTATCAATCCAGTAGGAGGCTCCTCAAAAGTCCCACACGCCTACACAAACAAACTGAGAACTCGCAACCAACGCAATAAAGGGGTTGTCCATCCCTTCACGGCCACTTGCGAAAGTGAGATCTGATAGAGATAGTATGATAAGATAAATATATTTTGGTATTTTATAACATAGATGCAAAAAGTAAAGATGCAAATAAAAGTAGATTGAAAGCAAATAAGATAAGAGATAGACCCGGGGGGCATAGGTTTCACTAGAGGCTTCTCTCGAGAGCATAAGTATTACGGTGGGTGAACAAATTACTATCGAGCAATTGATAGAAAAGCGCATAGTTATGATATTATCTAGGCATGATCATGTATATAGGCATCACGTCCATAACAAGTAGACCGACTCCTGCCTGCATCTACTACTATTACTCCACATATCGACCGCTATCCAGCATGCATCTAGAGTATTAAGTTCATAAGAACAGAGCAATGCATTAAGCAAGATGACATGATGTAGAAGGATAAACTCATGCAATATGATATAAACCCCATCTTGTTATCCTCGATGGCAACAATACAATACGTGTCTTGCAACCCTTTCTGTCACTTGGTAAGAACACCGCAAGATTGAACCCAAAGCTAAGCACTTCTCCCATGGCAAGAAAGATCAATCTAGTAGGCCAAACAAAAACGATAATTCGAAGAGACTTGCAAAGATAACTCAATCATACATAAAAGAATTTAGAGAAGATTCAATTAATATCCATAGATAAATCTGATCATAAACCCACAATTCATCGGATCTCGACAAACACACCACAAAAAGATATTACATCGAATAGATCTCCACAAGAGAGGGGGAGAACATTGTATTGAGACCCAAAAAGAGAGAAGAAGCCATCTAGCTAATAACTATGGACCAGTAGGTCTGTGGTAAACTACTCACAACTCATAGGAGGGGCAAGGATGTTGATGTAGAGGCCCTCCATGATCGATTCCCCCTCCGGCAGAGTGCCGGCGAAGGATCCAAGATGGGATCTCGCGGATACAGAAGGTTATGGTGGTGGAAATTGTGTTTCGTGGTGCCCCCGGATGTTTTCGGGGTCCATAGGTATATATAGGAGGAAGAAGTATGTCGGTGGACGCCCGAGGGGCCCACGAGACAGGGGGGCATGCCCTACAGAGGGGGGGCGCCCTCCTATCTCGTGGAGGCTCAGGTTGTTTCTTGACTTGCACTCCAAGCTCTCCGGATCTTGTTCGTTCCAAAAATCACGCTCCCGAAGGTTTCATTCCATTTGGACTCCATTTGATATTCCTTTTCTTCGAAATACTGAAATAGGCAAAAAAAATAGCAATATGGGTTGGTCCTCCGGTTAGTAGGTTAGTCCCAAAAATGATAATAATGTATAAAATAAAGCCCATAAACATCCAAAACAGGTAATATAATAGCATGGAACAATCAAAAATTATAGATACGTTGGAGACGTATCAAGGGTTTCCCAGGGGATCTTTTCTACTTACATTCCCGTCTCTTAGAAAGAGCCGCTAAACTATTAGACCAGACAGGTGCAGGTAGCTCGACTGCATTACCCGTGATTGAAACACAAGCTGGAGACGTATCGGCCTATATCCCCACCAATGTGATCTCCATTACAGATGGACAAATTTGTTTGGAAACAAAGCTCTTTTATCATGGAATTAGACTAGCTATTAACATTGGCTTATCCGTCAGTCGCGTCGGGTCTGCCGCTGAGTTGAAAGCTATGAAACAAGTCTACGGTAGTTCGAAACTGGAATTGGCACAATATCGCGAAGCGGCCGCCTTCGCTCAATTTGGGTCAGACCTTGATGCTGCAACTCAGGCATTACTCAATAGAGGTGCAAGGCTTACAGAAGTGCCCAAACAACCACAATATGAACCACTTCCTATTGAAAAACAAATTGTTGTGATTTATGCTGCTGTGAACGGCTTCTATGATCGAATGCCAATAGAAAAAATTTCTCAATATGAAAAAGCCATTCTAAGTACTATTAATCAGGAATTACAAAAAACCTTCTTATAAAAGGGTGGCTTAACTAACGAAAGAAAGATGGAACCAGATGCTTCTTTAAAAGAAAGCACTTTGCCTTACCTGTGAATTAATAAAAAAGGTCGCCCCTTACTCGCAGATGTAGGAAGAAGGCTTTTCTCGCCAACTGAACCCCAATAGGCTATTTTGGACTTTTTGCACATAATTATTAAAGATAGATTTTCGTGCCATGCGTAAACCAAGCTGCTGAGAGTCTACCCCAGCCACAAGGGGGAGCTGCTCCAGTAGTGAAGGATAACCCACCCAGCCCCACAAGGGTTTACGGACCCCCTACCTATACCTATACCTGAAGATTACCTATACCTGATGGTTTTCAATCCACAGCTCATTTTTTGAATATGTGACAAGCCTTGCAAATTGTGATAATATGTATCAAATTAGTAGTCCGCATAACCCAATATTTGAAAATTATGGAGGTGCGGGCTCAAGTACTTCGAATCACTAACAAGAAATCCAAGAAAGAACGGCGAAGGAAAAACGTGACAAGAAAAGTGTTTTCTCGACTCGAGATGTTAGAAGGTGCTATATCAATAGGTGTCGGAGCTGCTACAATTGCTTTAGCCGGAGCTGCTGTCGGTATTGGAAACATCCTTAGTTCTTTGATTCATTCCATGGCGCAAAATCCATCATTGGCTAAACAATCATTTGGTTATGCCATTTTGGGCTTTGCTCTCACCAAGGCTATATAATTATTTGCCCCAATGATGGCCTTTCTGCTCTCATTCGTTTTCCTATCGCTTAAAAAGTCATGAGATCAAAAAAGAAATGTGAGAATGTAGTTACAGATGTCAAAAATGTAAATATCATGTTCCATAGATGGGGCGTCCTATCCAATGGATGAATCAGGAGCCTTGGATGGAATAGAATGACGAGAATGCTTGCTTGGGAGAAAAATGAGAGGAAGACAACTATGATGCATGGAAAGGAATGCATAGAATGAAAGGAGCCAAGACAAACGTAGAACTCTTGAAATTGGCGGGCGACACAATATATTCCAAATAGTTTTCTATTGTCCAACTCCATTGTTGAACAACCACGATTTTTTCGAAAAAGAGAGGTTTGATGCTTCTGAATTCATTGTGTTAATTCCACTTCCTACTCGCAGTATGCTCTTAATGATCCCGGCTCATGATTTAATTGCCATGTATTTAGCTATTGAGCTTCAAAGTTTACGTTTTTATGTGATCGCAGAATCCAAAAGAAAGTCTGAATTTTCCATGGAAGCCGGCTCAAAGTATTTGATCTTAGGTGCATTTCCCTTTGTAATATTATTGTTCGGGTGCGACCGGACTACTACCGATCAATTTTTTGGAACTTATTTATAGACCTGTAGAGACCCTCTACGTAGTTGTAATTCTAGGGAAATCGATCCACTTTCCCCATAGCCCCAAGGTTGTGTCTCGATCTTCTACACACGAAAGATAAGATACGGGAGACGGGGTCCTATGGTATGGGTCTTTGACCCTTGGTCTAATTCCAGGACGGAGAGTCGGCATGGCATAAAGTGAAGATTGGGGGAATAGAGCGAAATCTCAGTCTGGGATATTCCGAAGGTGTAACCTAGGCAACGAGAAAGGGGCCTGATACTTCAACTAAAGGAACGACCTATTGGTTCACCAAACCCCGACCCAGTGTCACACGTTCTCCAGGTCCGAAGGGATCTACTGCCCAACTACCGACTCCTCCTGGAATTGCGTTATCGGAGCCGAGTCAGGAATAGCCGTTAGTGGACACCTACCATTTTTCACCGGTTACAGAGGCCCTCTTTAATACATTAAGAAAATATGTTCACAGGGGCCAGAAATACTCGGTCATAGGAACTTAGACCACCTACGCTCTGGTAAACGAAAACCACCTTGACCGGATCTACCGAACGAAGAAGGCCGCCACGTCGAAAGAATTAACACGCCAAAAGGGCCACCAGCTTTCCCCCAAAAAGGGGAGATCCGCTGCTTATTGCTCACGGAAACATCCGACCTTATGGTCAAGTCGTCAGCATACCTTTCTGATCTCATTCATTTTCCGATCGCATAAAAAGTCAGGAGATAAAAAAAGAAATGTGAGAATGTACTTACAGATGTCAAAAAAGTAAATATCTTGTTCCATAGATGGGTCATCCTATCCGATGGATGAATGAGGAGCCTCTGTCGAGTAGTGAAATGATAGGATTCTGCTTTTTGGTTAAACTGAAACACAAGTCGGCGATTCAAGCCAAGAGTGCGGGCACCTTAAGAGCGGTTAAAGCTAGAAGCTATATCATGACTACTGGAATGAAAGACCCGATGAGTATTTTCATACCACCTTCCAATCTTCTTAGTCAATTGTGTACTTCTCCACAAGGCGAGACATAAGTTATTGGAATCCGGGGCCTGTTTTTCCCTATTTCCCAAAGGGAATGTCAAATGGTGTGGTTTCACAGTCTTATGAGACAAAAAGTTTTGGAAAATGGAGCTCTCGTTTTCACTACTTTTGTCCCTAGCAATATTGTTGCTTAAACTAACATGGAAAGTGGGTTCAATAACTTTAAATTTTCCTATCAAGTGTCATCTCATAATGGTAATCTCCTTATGGTATAGTAATTTGGTTTAGAATAAGAAACCTATCTCTTCCCCCTAATGGCTTTTCACGACCACTACTAGGGAAAACCCTAGCAGTAGTGCGGGTATTTTTCCTATCAGTAGCACGGGATGCTGCACTACTGATAAGGCGCTACAGCTACCTTATAGCAGTAGTGACTGTCATCCCACACTACTGCTATACATGGACAACAGTAGCGATCTTTAAGGAACAGCGCTGCAACTAATATCTGCAGCGCTTTCTAGCAGGCCGCACAACTGGTAAATGAGCGCCACTGCTAATTTTAGTTCCCTCGCTACTGCTAGTTCTATTAGTTTCTGTTTTCTTTTGCATATTAGTTTTGTATTTGAATAGGCTTTATACAATAATCTTTAGCATATCATACACATACAAATCTATTCATAGCATATACATACAAATAGTCTCATCAAATCATAGCATCAACATAATCATCATCCAACACAAAGTGGTCTCTCGTCATCATCTCAAAAATAGCGATACAAGTCTTGATTACTTGCGACTACATCATCATCCATCTAAACAATGATATATGCGAGAAGAGTTATCACTATGAAACCTAAACTAACTATTGGATGTCGCTCGGAAACAGGAAACTGGTACACCTGGGCCTGACACTCTGGCCACTCGTCGTATACTCCTGGCACAGCACTTCTTCGCCATCGATGATCTATGCACCTGCATCGTCACATGAGTCGATGATATGAAACATATATAGTTGAGCAACAGAAAGATACTGACTTGGCAAAAATAGAAGCAACATATCATAAGCATAAATAACAAAGTTCATCGTACCCAAAATGCCCTAACTAGAGTTTCGTCGTGATCTTCGCTAGTCGAGGAGGACAGTTTAATTACATCCCAAATAAAGTTTCGTCATGCATAACTCAAAGTTTTGTCATACATAAAGTATGGAATAAATGGACACATTGTCATATATTGACAATCACTCCAACATGCCATGCCATCCATCCAGGTTAGGGAGATAGTCCCCGAGCTTAGTGAAAGGCTTCATGTCGAGACGATGAGAGGCTATGCGTGTTCGGACGTCTTCCCGCGACATTTGTCCTTCTTCGTAGAACATGCCTGTTTTTTCTACGACCTCCTTCATGATGATTTGGGCAAGTTCGCGCTGGATGTTATAGAACTCAGCTCAAAGTCGATGATCCTCGATATCTCCTAAGGTCTTTGCCCATTGCAGAATATGGGCATCGCCGGATCTAGGTGACATGTGAAGGTTCTGATGATCCCATCTGTACTCCAACATGTGGAGTAAGACATAGAATCCATCATTAAGAGAATTCCTCGGTTGCTGGATGCAGCAGAAGTCGGTCTTCTGCCTGTAGTCGGGCCTGTCGTCCCTGTGCTTCTTGTCCTTGACCTCTCCACCCTGTGTGTTATAGTAAAAGATAGCACTGTTGAGAACAGACTTGATGTGGGTGAAATCCTTTTTGATAATGTTCTTCGACGAGCCCAAGTAAAGAGAATGGGAGTATCGGGGGTTGAGGATGATGAGAACGGCGCGCCATAAATTAGTTAGCCTCCACCATGCAAATGAATGATTGAAATCGAAGAAATGATATCCGCGCGGATGACTTGCAGGGCATCATAAGGCACGAGAATTGCCTCCTTGTCCTTATTGGCGAGCATGAAATTGACGAGGTAGTCCCTCGCGTATTCACAGTGCTGTGTGCAGACTGCCAAGAATTCCTCGTCCATGAAGTACGAGTCAGCGACACAGATATATGGTATCTGCTCAAACCCGATGATGTATTTCATGTGCAAGGCATAAAGGCAGACAAACATAAAATCCAGCTTCTTCTAGTGAAACATGTCGAAGATGTAATCAAATCGAAGGAAGAACTTCTCTGCGGGGAATGTGTGGACCTAATACAATTGTCGCGGCATGTTAACCATGTAGAGTGGGTATCCTGGATTTTTCAAGGCGATGAGGCCTTCTCTATCCGCAGCACATCATCATGAAGTTTCCTTAGATTGCCGAATCTGCCCTCTAGCGTTGCTTTAGGTAGGATAGGTTCACCGGCGATATGCAATTTTGCCGCACCGGGGATATCTATACGGTCTTGAACCCGAGTCTGCTGAGGCAGTTGGATCATAGAAGTAGGTTTGTTGCCTTTCCTCGGTCTCTTCCTACCCTTCTTTGCTAGCGGAAGGTTGTCCATAATACGTTCAGACTCCAGAGGCGGCAATTGATCAGGAACCGACTCATGACGCTCAAACCCTAAGTAGGCGCCAGTATTGACATACTGTTGAGTGTCATCGTCATCCTCATCCTCATCTATGGCGACGTCACTAGCAACTAATGGAGGCTCTTCCTCACCCCGTCCGCTATCACCCAGCACGACAGTCAATGCTAATTGAGTAGGTGGGATGTTGATGTTCATACCTAACTGCGTGCTCATGGGTGTGCTCCTGGCCGCCTCCAGACGAAGCAGACTCTTTGGCCACAACAGGACCAACCGATTGCAATCACCAAGCCACCGTGGGCTCTCATCGTCATCCCCCTAGTACTGGAGGAGCAAAATTCTCGTGGCCCGGTTTGACACAGGCCACAGAAACCATGAAGACGTCTAGGGGGATCGGTCAACTGTGGAAAATGGTACCTTCGGCTCCATTTTTGTCGCCTTCCCCACGTCCACCATCTGGTCGCCGATGGTGTACAATATGGTGCACGGGGTTTCGTCGACCTGCAAAGAAAAGTCTGTGACGTGAGACATCCGAAAGGCAACGAAAGCAGGAGATTATACATCTATTGAAGAGGGCCGGTGTGACAGATACCGTGAGGGCATCGAGCTCAGCCAAAGAAGAAGCACCACCGAGCACATCCAGTGTCATAGCCGGTGCTGGGGCAGGTGCAAGAGCAGGTGCAGGAGCCGGTGCGGGAGTAGGTCCAGGAGCCGGTTCGCGAGCAGGTGCAGCCAAGAAGTCAGCAAGGGGAAAGTCCGCTGCATTTTTTCTGGATTTTTCCTGGTCCAATTGAAAACAGCTGGAACCAACGTAGTAGACATATCTACAACCACCTGTTTTGCGGCATCTACTGCTGTTGCGACTGTCTCAGATGATTTCTTCTCAACCGCAGTCTCAACCTTCTTGTCGATGTTTTCTTCAGTTAACCTCCGTCTTTCCTTTCTCTCCTCCGTGGTCTCACGGTAGTACTTCTTCCACATGGCGCTGTCTCTGACACCGTGCACTCGTCCATACAACGGTCGAGTCTCCACTGGGAGTCCTTTCAATATGTTCAATGCCCGGCTGAATGGAGTGTCCCACTTGGGCCTCGCCAACGCCTCAGACGGTGAGTCGCTTTCGGCCGCAATCCTGTGCTGCTCTCTCTGCAAAAGGCACAAGGATCATTTACAAATATGAATAACATGCAGTCGAATTGATCAGAAACTAAAATTACCAACATTCTCATGAACTCCATCGTGACCGCGTTCGTCTCAAAAACCTTCTTCACTAGGTCCCAATGGTGTCGGGCCCTGAGGACGTCACGCTCCTATGGGACGGTGAACTCCGCCAAGGGGTCTGGGATGCCCAGACTCGCGTCTTCCTCCTCCTCCTTGGCCCATATAGACCTCTTCCCGCCGTAACCACGACTTCTGAGGTGGTGGGACCCAATGTTCCTCTGTTGAAGCCCCTTCATGTACTTCAAAAAAAATTGGCAGGTTCGGCCTCGCAAGCCGCCTTGAATATTTCAAAGTTCTCTAACGTG